CGGGGGCAGAAGCATCTCAGGAGTCCAGTGAGTTCACCGTGGCTTTCGAAGCTCGCGGCCAAAGCTCTGGGAGGACAAGGGTTGAGTTTTCTATGCCAGGACAGTGGTGCTAGCCTGGATTTTGGTGGTAGGGGCAGAAGAAGACCCCCGCCCCACTCCCACCCTTTGTCTCTCCCATCCTTTGAGGTCTCAGCTTTTGAACTTTGGGTTTTTCCATCGGCTCTTCCCATTTTTCTTTTCTCCAGGCAAAGGTCCCAGGTCCCGTTGAGCAACCAGAGATGTCAACCTGGGGGAACCTCAGCCACCCAGGTACCGGTGAGAGTGTCTCCTCCCTCACATTGTCCTCTCTGGTGATAAATAGGGTGCTGAGTCTTCTTGCCAGTGGCCCTGGTCCATGAGAACTGGTAGGGAGGTGGAAGCTCTTGAGGACACCACACCCAAAAGCCTCCCGGGCTTTCCCCAGGGGAACCTGTCCAGGGAGGAGGACGCGATGGGCCCTGCCAGTGGTTGTCCTCACCCTCCCGGCCTTGCTTCCTACCCCTGCCCCCAGCAGGGCTGTGCTCGAGCGCTGGTGGCGCTTGGGAGGACGGGGAAGCCCTCGCTCCTAGAGCGGCTTGGGCTTGTTCTTATGCAAAAGGACCATGGCCAAGCTGGGAGGAGCCCCCTCCTCTCCGGACTGAACCCTGGGTTCGGCCTTCCCTTGCCTTGCCACCTTCTTTGGAGGCATTGAGGGACGCTTTCTCCTCGCTTGCAGGTGAGCAGGAGTTCGGAGAAGGCCCAAGATGTTCCAGCAGGTTTGTTGGCCGGGGGGATGTCACCACTGAAGGGTTTGGGGTTGGAGCTGGGGGGCTGGAGGTCCTGAGGCTCCCTGGGGAAGGGGCTACAGTGGGAGGAGATGCGGCTTAGGCATCATCAGGTCCCCTCTCCCCTCGAATCCCACCTCTGCTTGACATCGCGGGCCCCCCAGAAGGAGCCCTTCCACCTCCTCTTCCCACCCACCGCATACCCAGGTCTTCCCAGAAGACCTGAGGGTCACCAAGGGCTTTTCAACAGGGCGGAAGGGTACAACC